TCGTTTTTAAGTATTGTGCCGTGGCATGACGGAGGGAGGAAGGGTGCTGTGGAGGACTTCTCTCCAAATTGGCTGAACGAGGTCACTGCATTTATGTTTACACAACATGGTCCAAGGGATCGCATGGAGACCCTCAAAAATAGATCACTGTTTATAAACATCACATAAACAGTCCCCTTCTACCCTTACTCTGGTAGCTAAGGTTTTCCAGCAAGTGTAACTCGTTTAACATTATCTCTTGGCCACTAACTCACCACTCCAAGTGTCCCCCCGTGCGACTCGCATCCCCACTTCCTCCGCAGGTATGTATTAGACCTGCGCACACTATCGATACTCCCCAACCCCCCGTTTCTCTCTGCTCTTCCACCCTCGTCGACGACCACCTTTCAAAGCATCTCTTAATGCGCTGCCTACAGGGATGAAGCTCACCTACACTTGCTGCATAAACACATGATCTCAACGGCCATGAATGTAGGCTTTCCTCTCGCCCGCCGGACACTCCCCAGGATCCTAAATTCACCTTCACCCCTAAGAAGCAAGTTACACTCATCTTACTTCGTCAACACTGTTTATCCAATGGAGATGCACACGTATATTGTCTTCTGTAACATTAATAAAGTAACATATGCACGTTGAGAGAGGCTGCGGCATCTTCCCCACACCCGGTTCTGAGTGCGCCGCCTTCTGCACACACGGGCCTTACTCACCGGGCGTGCAAAAGCCATCGCTGGTCACACAACGCAAGGGCCAGGGAGCCCGTTTCCCCAGGATCCCAGAGGGAAAGCCTCGCGGTGGCCCAGACCTCTGGATTTCCAGCCCAGTAATTTTCTCACTCAGCCAGTAATTATTAAACAACATGACTCAGGACCTCCAGGTGGTGTTCTGGGTCAGTAAAGCATGGGAACTTTCTGGACCAGACTGTCTTTCATCAGCTCTCCCAATCTGGCCTCCCTATTAAAAATACGTCTGCTTTGAAAGTCTTGAGGAGGAAGGATTCTTTGAAGCATTGCACTTTTGGACCCCGAGGATCACGTGCAAATTTTCTGCTGAGCTGAGGGAATAGAGCCATCAGAGACAGGCCTTGTGAAGCTACATTTACTACACTCTGCAACAATGCCCCTGTTAACATGTGGTTATTTCTTTTTTTTTTAATATATTTTATTGATTTTTCACAGAGAGGAAGGGAGAGAGATAGAGAGTCAGAAACATCGATGAGAGAGAAACATCGATCAGCCGCCTCCTGCACATCTCCCAGTGGAGATGCGCCCGCAACCCAAGTACATGCCCTTGACCGGAATCGAACCTGGGACCTTTCAGTCCGCAGGCTCAATCCACTGAGCCAAACCAGTTAGGCTAGAATAGTAATCTTGACAAACTGAAGCCAAAGGTATAAAAACTGAAGGAAAGAGAGAGACTAGGGGGAAAGAGATAGAAACATCAATGATGAGAGAGAATCATTGATCGGTTGCCTCCTGCATGCCCCACACTGGTGATCGAGCCCATAACCTTGGGCATGTGCCCTGACCCGGAATCGAACCGTGACCTCCTGGTTCACAGGTCAACGCTCAACCACTGAGCCACTCCGGCCAGGCAAAACATGATGATTTCTTGATCTGAAAAGCCATCAGGTGATTGGCAGAACTATCAGACTTCTTTACTAACTATACAGTCTATGATATACTTCAAGACAAACATGCCTATGTACTAACTGTAGTTATTCCCCACTGTTACCTGCCTCAACCCATAAGAAAATAAACCCTCTCTGTAATCCTTATGAATTTTCTTCTGCTGTCCCGGCAGCAGGACACATGTGCTTCCTGCCCAGGGCTGGGAGCTGGCAGTGGCAGTGGCTGGAGGGGTGGGGGCGGTATTCTCCCTGATGCTAAGGAAGGGGTCTCTGCAAACATCTCTTCCCAAGTGTTGTCAGGACAGAGGGATGTAAAAGGAGAGGCAATGCCACATTAATCCCATTTGCACGAGACATAACAGGAGAGCAGCGCTATCATTACTTCAGAGGCCCCAGACATAACCACGGTTTCAAGGCTCCCCTCCCCACAAAGGCTCTAACAGAGAGAATTTCCTTATGTTCCTGTCTCCTCAAATATACAACAGGTCCAGACCTCTGTTTGCTCAGACATTCAAAAGGCCATGGATGGCTTTCTTGCCTGTCTCTTCAACAGAGAAGTTAATCCTAATCTAAAAGACAACATAAAGAAAAATGAAATCATCTTAAAGTCTAAATCATCAAACCATTTTTTAAAAGGGGTGGTTATGTTTGTTAGTTTTTGAATTACTACCTGGCGGCTTTGACTTTTAAATGTCTCTGTTTCTCAAGGCCAGCCCGCCCCACCCACCCCCACCCCTTGCTTTCCGGGTTTCTTGACTCTGAAATCCTCCCTCAGACTCTGTACGCATTTCTAATCTCGCTTCTTTTACATCTGGCAGCGCCTGATTTTTTAGCTCTTCGTTTTCTTTCAGTGACTTCACAGGAAGCAGGCTGGATGTGGTCACTACTTGTGCGGTAGGTAAAGAGTGTGCAACTGCACTGCGTACACCAGCCTTTTATTAACCACTTAGAGACGCTGTGTCAGGTCTTCCTGTTCTTGCACAATCTCTCAATTCCAGCCCTTTTTCCTAGGCTGGGGGTCCCACGCCCTGCCCTACCCCTAATGCTTCCCAGAGGAAAAACTCTCGGGTCCGTTTCTGTCCCGTATAATTACGTTCTTATATGGCTCAACCATTAACCAATTGCTGGTTTGCTGTGACTCCAAACCTCCCTCCAAGGCTCCATCAGAGGAGCACAGCAGAATCTGGCCAAACACTAGAGCATTACCAACGATCTCAACGCAAAAGCAAATCCTAGATGCCTAACACCCATCTTGAACCTGTGTTTACCTTTAACTATCAAGAAAGGGTTTCTATGAAAGTTAGTATATGCTAACAAGAGGTTTAAAACTAACATTTTAACATGCCTTTTCAAAGACAAAATGTTACATACACACACACACACACACACACTCACACGATCTCTATCAGGTGTCTTTCTACAGACATTTGAGTATACAAATACTGAATTCAGGTTTTTTTCCACTTTAAGAATTGTTTCCTCAACCCAAGTGCCCATCAGTAGGTGAGTGGGGGAAAAGCTGTGGGACAGTCGCACCATGGAAGACCACTCTGCTGTAAGCAGGAAGACAGTGTTACCCTGTGTGACAGCGTGGATGCACCTAAGTGGAATAAGCCCGTCAGAGAAAGACAAGTGCCACATGACTTCACTCATGTGTGGAATTTAATGAACAAACTGAACTAACAAGCAATAGAGACAGACTCAGAGAGAGCAGGCAGACAGCGCTGATGGCGGTGGGAGGGTGGTGGTGTTGGGGGCAGGAGGTGGAGGGATTGAGCAAAAAAGAAAAAAAGGGGGAGAGAACTCATTGTCAGGGACAACAGTACGGTGATGGTGGAGGGAGGGGGAAGCCTTGAGGGGGAAGACAGCATAGAGGGGATAAATGGTGATGGAAAAAATAAAAATTAAATAAAATTACAATAGAGTAAAAAATAATTGCTTCCTTTTAAATTCAACAAAGGAAATTATGAAATAAAAAATGGTACAATTAAGGGATAAAAAAGATTGCTAAGGAAGCTGGGGAATGCCTCTTTAATTTTGATTGTCGTATATTATTTCCTTGACATATATCAACCAGACAACCCAGGAACTGAATAGGCCAGCTCCCCTTGAATAAGAAAAGACCTAAAAAGCAAAGCCATGATAGAGGTATGCAGATTACAGCAAATCTCCTTCTTCAGAATTCATAATTAGATTCCACAGGAAGGTACTGAATCACCAAAACATCTTGGCTCAAAGGCCAAGTGATCTATTTGATAAGAACCTTTATTTTCCTACAAATAATCTCTCAATGTCATATGACGGTTCCTGTTTCAATTCTAATTAAGAAACTGAAGATTTCCACATGTGAAATTTTCAGTGCATAAACAATAGCCAACTTTCCACTACACACAAATGATAGCTAGGGTGAATCTCTCTCTCTCTCTCTCTCTCTCTCTCTCTCTCTTTCTCTCTCTCCCCAAAGAAATGAAAAAAAATAAAAGAAACCAAGGACTAAGAAAAAAATAGATACATTGTCCAATGTAAAGGAATAAAGGTTAGAAGTTTGTTAGAATTTTGGAAGAGGATTTCGGAGTCAAGATGCCTTCTGCTTAGAAGCAAGGGTTCAGACATTGACAGGAGAAAACAGAAAACTTGAGGTATCAGTTCAAGAAAGTAACTGCTCCCAATTTGAAAACACTGAATCCTGATCCCTACTGCTCAATGGAAAACTCCAAACAACATAACAACAACCAAAACACGACTGTGAATTGTGAAATGAACTCTAGATATTCTTCATAAAAAGTAGTCAAGACTGCAGCTGGTTTGGCTCAGTGGATAGAGCGTCAGCCTGCGGACTGAAGGGCCTCAGGTTCAATTCCGGTCAAGGGCACATGCCTGGGTAGTGGGCATGCAGGAGGCAGCCAGTAAATGATTCTCTCATCATTAATGTTTCTCTCTCTCTCTCTCTCTCGCTCTCTCTCTCTTTCTCTCTCTCTCTCTCCTCCCTTCCTCTGTAAAATCAATAAAAATATATCTTATTTAAAAAAAAAAAGTAGTTAAGAAAACTGGAATACTTAACAGCCATAGAGTTTGCAGTAAGTTTAAGAGATATCACTAATTTAGGAGCTATTACTGAAACAATATTTGCTTTTTAACCTGCAAATGAAACTCTACTAATGCGCAAAATCACAAAAGAGCTTTACAAAAGCAAATTCAAAGGAAAAACACGCTTGGATTAAATTTTCACCTGGCAATAGGCTTGTTTTGAACAACCCCAAAGGAAAACAACTTACTAAAAACTAAAGAAAATCGGAGCACTGGTTCTCAAATGTCCCCTACTGGGAGAGTATAAACAAGAACATTTCATACGATGGTTTTAAGGCATACCTACCTGTCTTAGGATGTATGGTGAAGAACCCTTGTGGATTTCCACTTGTGATTCTGTACGTCAGCTTGTCATTAGAGCTAGGATCTGGATCGAAGGCCTCAATGTGGACCACGGATATATCCTTGGGAGAATTTTCCATGATTTCTGGAGAATAAACTGGCTCTGAAGTCTGGGGTGCGTTGTCATTGACATCCTCCACCTCGATGTAGACCTCTATGAACGAGGAAAGGGGCACAACACCCTGATCGGTGGCGTAGACTGTCAGCCAGTAATGGGATGTCGACTCGCGGTCCAGGCGGTCTGCAGTCTCTATGACACCTGGGGAGGAAGACGGAGACCATGAGGAGGCATGTCCACAATCACCAGCACTGCCACTCTGAGGAAGTGTCAACCTAAATGACGACCCTGATTGATGGAGGGCTTATGGGTCACAGCTGTTAGATCTGGAGCAAGTTACCTCAGCTCTATGCCTCAGTTTGCTTTCCTATAAAATGGAGATAATGACAGTACGTTCTTCCTAAGTTGGTTAAATGAATTCCTACAATGCTAAGGATTAGAATGGGACTTGGTACATAATACCGGCTATTAAAGTATTTGTCATTATTGGTATTAGGTGGCAGGTACTATGTGAACCACTTTGCAAATATTATCTCATTGACATTTCCAAACAACCCAATGAGACGTACTACGAGATTATCTAATGGCCCCATCATCTGCTTTTCCAAGGAAAGCATTTATGGTTGGTTAGGATGAGTTGACTTTTCTAGATTTTATCCGGGAACCAGAGACAAGACCAGAGACATGGCCCCGATCTGAGCCCCACAGTCTAGCACCCCTTTTCCCCATGCTGCACTCGGGTGACCCCTGCTACAATTAAGAGGAAGAGGCTGGAGCAACACTCCTCCACACGTCTTAGTTTGACAGACACGCCCTGCCTAGTGGCTAAGAACCAGAGGATAGCCTTTCAAAGTGCAGAAGAAGGAACTGCTCAGGTCTCTTATGTGATGAAACCTTCAGTTTCTTACGGCAAGACAACCAGTGTGCTAAAAATATACTTTCTCCACCTTACACCGTAAGTTCCAAAGGGGCAGAGGCCACATGGTTCTCAAATATCTGTATACCCAGCACCTTGCCCAAAGCCCAATAATTACTCCTTAAATGAATAACAAAATGAATAGACAAACAAAATAGACAAACAAACAAAATGAATAGACAAACAAAAAGAAAAAATAACAAAATGAATAAACAAAAATGAATAGAGATCTGGAACTGGTACAGAAAGTCCTCAATTAAGACCCAAACTAGGCCGAAACCGGTTTGGCTCAGTGGATAGAGCATCGGCCTTCGGACTGACAGGTCCCC